CGCTCATTTTAGGGGAGACAGAAAGGCTGTCACTTTTAGCACAGAATTTGTTGCCCCGGAGTCATCCAGAATTTTAACTTGTACACCACAGGTTGTTAGCGTATATTACGGGCATGAATTATCTCTAAAAAGTGCCAATTGCAATTTGTTGTTGTTCAACTTACATGAGCGGTCGCTTTGGTGACGAATGTGAACCCAGGTTTGGTCAGTCGCTCGTGTTTCCTCCGTGCCCGCCTCTGCCGTCCTCTGGCCCCGTGTGAGCTTGAGAGGCCCTCTGCCTTTAACGCCTCCTCCGGTAACAGTCCTTCGACCCATGTCGAGCACACAGTCTTTCCGCCGGGCTGTGGAAGTTTTTCAAAGTCCGCAGGAGGCCCAGGTAGCCCAAAGCGTTAGCATGTGGTCCATGAGGGTTGGTGAATAACCCAAACGTGCCGGTCACAATGGCTTCTTCTGTTTGCGGTGCGGGAACAACTTTCAAGCGGGTTTCCGCGGGTGCGTTTGGTATATCACGCTGCCCCCTCCGTGGAGAACAGTCACGGGATTTGGAGCAGTTTCTCTCTGTGCTCCAAAGCAGTTGTCGGTGTCTCACATATTTGTTTCCTCCGCTTCTTCTTCTGTGGTTTCCTGAGCGTGTGTCTGTTTCCGCCTCTTCTTCTTCTGCGGTTTGGGCCCACTTCTCGCGGGGTCTCAGCTGGTGCGGGCGCCGCCTGTGGTTGGGGCGTGGGGCTGGTGCTTTGAGGCAGAGGACAGAGCGCGGAGGAAAGGCGCCGACAGACCTGGATAGGGAAGAGGGAAAAGAGACAACAGTAGTCTGCTTCATTTTTTAAAAACCCAACGCCTTGTTTGGGCGCGTACTTAGCATGGAGTTCTGCTCCTAGTGTGAAAGGGTTAGTAGGTGAGAGAGGGCGTGTGTGTGCGCCTGTGTGTTCTCCGCTTTGGTGAAAGGCGGAGGAGCTATTGTTTTTACATATTTCTTTCTCTAACCTCTTTTGCCGTGATATTCTTAAAACCAAGTATATTTTTTTTTTTTCTTCCCTTCTTCTTCTAAATTATCACGCAGATGACCTGCACCATAGGCAAGCACTTCATAGCTTGCATCTGTAGATTGATTTTACCCATTTTCTCGTACGAACAATGGGCCTAACCCGCTTAGTCTCTCCCTGCTCCTACCCACTTTGGGGCGCTCCGTTCCCCCCCCCGCTGGTTCAACCAGCGAGCGCGCGTTCTTGAAAACGGAGCGGTTCTGGCTGAAGACACTCAGAGATTCCAGGGTCGCTTACAATGCGATACTAACGCGCAGCCGCTAGTTTCAATCTAGAACAAAAAGCCCCCCAAAAAATCCCGCACACAGACTATGCTGTGGCAATGAATGAAATACCCCAAAAATACATAAATAAACAAATCCCCGTGTACACTTAAGTGCTGCCCTGGGCTCGTTACGCAGATGAAAAGACAAGACTCACCAGATTAGGTTCTTTTTGGTCTTGTGTGGCAAAAGGATTCCTTCCGTGCGCGGGACGAGCGCGCCCTCCTTTGTCTCCAAAAAGGAACAGAGGCTGGTGATCCAGGTCGGCCAAACAAAGCCGCTCGTCCCCGCCGAAAGTATCCATGCCAAGACATGTCAGCAACGCCAAATTGTTATAGAATTATATACCCCATGAAGGAGAAAACTCAAAGGTCCTTTGTCTGATCAAAAGCGTAAGTTTATTGTTAACGCACAGTGCGGAGAGCCAGCACATACACTCCAAAAGCAGCATGTCCCAGCTCTGGGGGCCAGAGCCCCGAGCTTCCTGTATACAAGACACACACCAAAGATAGTCACGCCCACAACGGAGCGGAGGGGGCCACCGGTGAGGAGGCGCACAGGAAGCGCCGGCGCCATCCCCTGTGGTGGCAGTGGCATGGGGTGTGAACAGACAGACAATGGTGGAAATGCAGGTCATACAGATGCAAGACGGAAAGACACAAGGGTGTGACAGACAGCAGGGACCTTCACAAAGCTCAGCATGGCGTCAGAAGGTCGTCTGCATTGATAAAAGGCCTTTGACGTCCGTGTATTTGCTGCGGCTGGTTTTAATGTAATTACTCCAAAAACTGTCACCACAAGGACCCAGCCAGAAGTCAGGATTACAGTAGGGTTGGTGGGACTAAACTAGAACAAACCCACAAGGCTAATGTTGCCACTGAAGCACTAAAACAGACAGACAAGATGCTAAACCGGGACCTTCCAAGTCTCTGCCAATGGGTTTTGAATGTGAAAATGTTAAAATGAACTGGGACCAAACCAGGACTGAAACCAAGACTAAGCTAAAGGACGACGCAGGGATGTCTTTTTCAAAACCAGCCAACCTCACTTCCCCTTTAACTGAACTTTTCTACAATCAATAATTAAAATGATGCTTTCACAAACTGTTGGATTTTGTCCTTTTTTTCCAAGAACAAGAAAGAAAAGTTTAAAAAGAAGTGAAAAAACTGCAAAAGAAGAATGCAGACAGAGGCCTGTATTTCATCGGAGGAACTTCCCCAAAGCAGCACATAACAGTTTTATTACCAACATTAACTTTGACATGTTTACGCTGGGACCCATAGACCCATACGGGTCCCATACTGGGACTACTTTTAAGTAATACAAAACAGTAAATAGAAAACAAACAACTCTTTTAAAGGAATTTTATTTTAGATTTTTTCGAATTGCAGTGATTCTATTTTTGACATATAATTTAATGCCACTCCATGTCCGATGTCAAAGTCATCTGGTGAGGCATTAATGCAGGCCAGGCCAGGCCAGGCCAGGCAGTGAGACTTCCCAGGGACTTTTCCAGTCTGTATGAAAGGTGTCATGGTCTTCTCCACAGCCTTCACCTCAGATGCCGACCATGGCTTTCTTACACGTTCTAGGGAGAGAAATAAAAATATATTAGCAATATACACTCCCAGGGTTAGGACCAAGCAGCCTGGCTGTAATCCCCCACCTGGTACACTTACCAGAAGGGGCACTGCCACTACCATGGGGTGCATCTGGATGAATGGTTGAAGGTTCTCCGCTTGAAGTTTCTTTTAGCCCGTCCGTTTGCGAGAGGATCTCTACTGCTCTCCCTGTCGCACAGAAAATAAAAATACAAGTGGCCTTTAGGGGAAAAAAATTATACATATTTTAATAATATCAAGAATTACCTTCAGGCTCAATTTGTATCTGGTCGAGGCTCTTTCCTTTGAATTCCGTCACTCTTCCCTGCTCCATGGCCATTAACACTTTGCTGATTTTGGCCAGCTCCAGTGTCCCCTCTGGTAGTCTGTAATATTGCCTGTGGATGCGAATGTCATGGCCGAGGAAGTTGGCTAGTATGTCCATTTCATTCTCTTTCATATTGAGAACTGTAGACATAGTAGCTATGTGCTTTCTAAGTTTGGTTGAGGATAGCATCTCTGGATGCACCGCACCACATTCTTTGGCTACCTGCCGTAGGGAGTCTGATCCCCTGATGTGGGTGTCTGCGCCCGGGCGGGAAAAGAAGTATGGGTTATGGTCAGAGATGGAACAGGCCCTTCTGTTCTCCACCAGCACCTCCATCGAAGCAATCATTTCAGGAGTCAAAAGAACCGGCACTTTCCGACTTCTTTTCCCTTTAATTTCAATGCGTTGAAAATGCTGACACAGCTTTTTCTCAAGTTGGGACAGTCCCAGAGCAATGTCAGAATGGATCCCAGTCTTACTTCTTAAGGTAAAGGCTGTCAGTGGCATCTTTGAAACCTCACCTTCCCTTCTTCGATTGAAAATAATGACCTCACAAAGAGTCAGTTTAGACCAATGCTTAGAGGTTGGCTCACTTATTAGGGTTTGCACATATTCAGGTCGACATACCTCAATATGTGCATGCATGGCTCTAACGTCCTCAGTCAGAGGGAGCAGGTCCGGAGTGTTCCACTTGGCTTGCCGGAGGGTCTGTAGGGCAGCAGAAGAAACACAGACGTCCCACCTCTTCTCAAAAAGCAGCCGGCTTCGTTGGAGGTTTTTAATAAATAGTTCATCAACACAATGCTCCATTTTTGAGTCACATTCAAGAATATCTGCTAGCTTTCTGAGGCTATGGCCGAGTTTGAGGGCCAAGGATGGAGTCTTGTATTGATTTGTTTCCTCATCATATCCAGCCACAGACCTGACTGCATCAATCACATGGTTAAAATTGGAAGGAATAAAGAAATCCTTAATTGTTTTCAGTTTCCCTGCGGTTTTTGCTTTGTTAATTAACCTACCGACTTCTCTCATTTTCTGCCTAATGTAATCATGCTTAGTCTTATCATGCCCGTGTTTTAAGTACAGGTGCTCTCCGAGTCTCAGAATCCCCTTTTCTGCTTTGACAACACCCGTGACCTCATCCTGATGCATTGCCGAAATTAAAGACCACAGCTTTTTGCTGATGCCCTCCGGTACAGGCTGGGCTAGGGAGCAGAGGGACTGGACCCTACTTCTACCTGGTTTAGCCTGGGCATCTTTCTGTGAAAGCCGGCACCTGGCCACATGCCTCCACAGCCACTTTCGCTTAAGCAATGCCCCACAGTCTATACAGTGCAAAAACTCACTGGATTTAACTGGGGAATTTGGCTGTTTAGCTGGGACTAAAGTTCCAATGCCGGCCTTTAAAACCCCAAAATTGTACTCACGGTTTCCACTATTCCTGATCAAATCAAACTGAAGTTTAGATTAGATTTCACAGGTAGAGCCAATGCTCTGGCTACGTCACTTTCATTTCCATGTTTTCTAGTCAAATGACGGGACATTTTGTGGCAGGACATTGAACAGTAGAGGCAGAAGTGTCTCTTGCTGTAAACTCTCCCCCCATTTTTCTTCTTTTGCAGCTGCATGATAACAATCTTATTTGCCTTTGGTTCGTCACTTTCCGAGTCTTGAAGAAAAGTGTTTTTGATTTTTCTTTTTCCATACTTTTTTACAGGTTTCTTCTTGACAGTTAAATCGTCAGAATCTGAGTCGACTTCATCAATTAGGGACTCTTGACTAAGCTGCACAAACAACAAATAATTTGTAATAATTCTATATAACAATTTGAAGTCATGACTTGTAGTCAGCACTTACCAGTGGTTTGTAAGCGTGCGCTTCAGTGTGCTGCTCTGTGATTGGCTGCAGCCTAATGAACCACACACTTGCACCTTTTCTAGCCTGACACCTGATTTCCTCTGTTGTGCTGCTCCATGATTGGCTCCAGCCTGCTGGACTGAAATTGCCCCAGTGTGCCCCTCCTTGAAATCCCGCAACCCACCACCAGGGTTCCGACACATAACACACTTTTTTCAGGAAAGTAAACCTCCAGGGGTCCTTTCCATATTTTTACAGAGACTGCATAAGGACCGTATGAAAAGCATTACCCATTGATTATTAAGCTTGGACCAGTGGGGTCCGGTGTTCGGGCCCCACCACGTAAAACCAGTCCCCATGACGTGAGTGGAATCTCAGGTTATGGAACCCACCAGGAGTTGAAAACAAGTGCAGACACACACAGACGCTCTCACACACACACACACACACACACAGACGCTCTCACACACATGCACGTCCACAATACATGACTCCTCCACCAGCCAAACATTCATTCATTCACACAGTGCCCAAACGTGTCTCCTACAAGAACGCTCCTCCTGAGAACAGGGGGTAAGTGACCAACATGTTTTGTTGTTTTTTCAATTTTTGTTTATTCAAAAGCACTCATTACAGATGACATCATGACATTTCAATTGTATGGAGCTATTATTGTTTCAATAATATTTGTGTGTGCGTAAACAGATTTGTGTGTGCGTAAACAGATTTGTGTGTGCGTAAACAGATTTGTGTGTGCGTAAACAGATTTGTGTGTGCGTAACCAGATTTGTGTGTGCGTAAAAGAAATATTTGTGCGTGTGTAAATAGATTTGTATGTACGTATCAAGATTTGTGTGTGCGTAAAAAGATTTGTGTGTGCGCAGAAAGATTTGTGTGTGTGTAAAAAAAAAGAAAAAAAGTTTTACACACAAGTTTTTTTTTTACACACGAATCTTTTGACGCAGTCCTGCCTTCGCAGATTCGCAAGTATAACTTGGACTGTGTGCGTGCGTAAACAGATTTGTGTGTGTGTAATTTGACATTTGTATCTGTAACAGAACAATCTGTGTGTAAATAACCACGTTGTACGAAGAGAAGAACGGAAAAAAGCCTAAGTGCTAAGCACAGGCTCTGTTTTACACACAAATCTCTTTTTGACACACCTCTGCCGCAAAGCGTGTGTCAAAAAGATTCGTAAGTGTAATGTGGTTGTTCCAGCAGTACACCAGCAGATGGTGCTGTTGTAGCTGGTTATACACGCAAGCAAACCAGCAGAGTTTGTAGCACTATAGTGTAGATAGAGAAAACCGAAGGATTTAAGAAGAAGAAAAGTTCAGGATGACAAGGAACACAAAAATTCCCACAAAATCCGACTTTTATGAAAGCTGTAGGTTCTCTGTCAGCCGTTTTAGTTTACTTTGAGTTCTATGAGGAAAATGTCTGTGTAGCTGTTAAAGGCGCTATACCCGCTTCTGCAATGTTTGAGTGTTTAGCACCGCCCCCCAACTCGCTCACAGGCTTCTCATTTCCCCTACGCTCTCATAACACGGAGCCACCTAGTTTTATTTGCGATCTGATACGTATGCTAACATTAGCATTAGCGCAACTTCTTGTAAGCTCAACAACAATCACTGATGAAATGGTACTAAAGCAATGCACTGCTAACACAATATATAAGTAAAAGAATACCGCTAGTTTCGCGTCCGAATGTATTAATTTAAACATTAGAATATATTCTAATATTTAATTATAATTTGTTATAGAGCTCCTCACAGCAGTAGAACACTCCATTGACTTGAATGCAATTCTTCCGATCATTTCTTCTTGATAACAGAACTCTCTAATCAATAATGACCGCAGCCCCAATGCAATCTCTGTTTGTAATTCAGGTGTGTAAAATACTGCCATTACTTTGCAAGAACAACAAGCTATCAGCGCCTGTCACTACACTGTGCAGTTTTTCTGCACACTTGTCTGTGTAGAGAAGCTAGCTGAGCTAGCCACGCTCAATAAACAAATACATATCTATCAATCAACACCATTAAACGTCAATCAGACAGTACAGTATACATATACATCCTTAACACACATGCACGGACGATTTCAGAATTTGCTGTCAACGTTTTCATGACAAAAATACTGTTTTAAAGTGACAAAAAGCGATCGCGAAAAACCCGGAAGTTACCATGAAACAGCTAGCTAGCTTAGCTGTTACCTGCCTAGCACGTCCCGGTGAAACCTTTGGGAGCTAACTATTTTATTTGCAGTCATTAAATATATTTTGAATTATAAGGGTTGTCTAATATTTGTTCGAATATATATATATTTTTGTATTTTAGAATTATATTCGAATTTTGAAGTCGAAGCCCTGGTGTTAGCAGCGCTGTAGGGTCTAGAGGACGCAGGCTGTAGAGGCTAGAGGACGCAGGCTGTAGAGACTAGAGGACACAGGCTGTAGAGACTAGAGGACGCAGGCTGTAGAGGCTAGAGGACGCAGGCTGTAGAGACTAGAGGACACAGGCTGTAGAGACTAGAGGACGCAGGCTGTAGAGACTAGAGGACACAGGCTGTAGAGACTAGAGGACACAGGCTGTAGAGACTAGAGGACACAGGCTGTAGAGACTAGAGGACACAGGCTGTAGAGACTAGAGGACACAGGCTGTAGAGACTAGAGGACACAGGCTGTAGAGACTAGAGGACGCAGGCTGTAGAGACTAGAGGACACAGGCTGTAGAGACTAGAGGACGCAGGCTGTAGAGACTAGAGGACACAGGCTGTAGAGACTAGAGGACACAGGCTGTAGAGACTAGAGGACGCAGGCTGTAGAGACTAGAGGACACAGGCTGTAGAGACTAGAGGACGCAGGCTGTAGAGACTAGAGGACACAGGCTGTAGAGACTAGAGGACACAGGCTGTAGAGACTAGAGGACACAGGCTGTAGAGACTAGAGGACACAGGCTGTAGAGACTAGAGGACGCAGGCTGTAGAGACTAGAGGACACAGGCTGTAGAGACTAGAGGACGCAGGCTGTAGAGACTAGAGGACACAGGCTGTAGAGACTAGAGGACGCAGGCTGGTCGCTGCTCGTTCTGTGAGCGGAGGAGAACGAGCGGCCCGCTCAGACTCTGCTCAGCACTTTTCACGGCATAAATTTCATACACAGCTGAATCAATGACCTCAAGTTTTCAATTAAATTATGTATTATGATACAACTTGTATGTGGTAAAAAGCATTTTTATGAACTACTTAGAAAAAAAATCGGGTATAGCTTAAAGAAGCTATACCCGATTTTTTTTCTAAGTAGTTCATTCAAACTTGAGGTCATTGATTCAGCTGTGTATGAAATTTATGCCGTGAAAAGTGCTGAGTAGAGTCTGAGCGGGCCGCTCGTTCTCCTCCACTCACAGAACGAGCAGCGAGCAGCCTGCGTCCTCTAGTCTCTACAGCCTGTGTCCTCTAGTCTCTACAGCCTGTGTCCTCTAGTCTCTACAGCCTGTGTCCTCTAGTCTCTACAGCCTGCGTCCTCTAGTCTCTACAGCCTGCGTCCTCTAGTCTCTACAGCCTGTGTCCTCTAGTCTCTACAGCCTGCGTCCTCTAGTCTCTACAGCCTGTGTCCTCTAGTCTCTACAGCCTGCGTCCTCTAGTCTCTACAGCCTGTGTCCTCTAGTCTCTACAGCCTGCGTCCTCTAGTCTCTACAGCCTGCGTCCTCTAGTCTCTACAGTCTGTGTCCTCTAGCCTCTACAGCCTGCGTCCTCTAGTCTCTACAGCCTGTGTCCTCTAGTCTCTACAGCCTGTGTCCTCTAGCCTCTACAGCCTGCGTCCTCTAGTCTCTACAGCCTGCGTCCTCTAGCCTCTACAGCCTGCGTCCTCTAGTCTCTACAGCCTGCGTCCTCTAGTCTCTACAGCCTGTGTCCTCTAGTCTCTACAGCCTGTGTCCTCTAGTCTCTACAGCCTGTGTCCTCTAGCCTCTACAGCCTGCGTCCTCTAGTCTCTACAGCCTGTGTCCTCTAGCCTCTACAGCCTGCGTCCTCTAGTCTCTACAGCCTGTGTCCTCTAGTCTCTACAGCCTGTGTCCTCTAGTCTCTACAGCCTGCGTCCTCTAGCCTCTGCAGCCTGTGTCCTCTAGTCTCTACAGCCTGTGTCCTCTAGTCTCTACAGCCTGTGTCCTCTAGTCTCTACAGCCTGTGTCCTCTAGTCTCTACAGCCTGTGTCCTCTAGTCTCTACAGCCTGCGTCCTCTAGTCTCTACAGCCTGTGTCCTCTAGTCTCTACAGCCTGTGTCCTCTAGCCTCTACAGCCTGCGTCCTCTAGTCTCTACAGCCTGCGTCCTCTAGTCTCTACAGCCTGTGTCCTCTAGTCTCTACAGCCTGCGTCCTCTAGTCTCTACAGCCTGTGTCCTCTAGTCTCTACAGCGCTGCTTAACACCAGGGCTTCGACTTCAAAATTCGAATATAATTCTAAAATAAAAAATATATACATATTTGAACAAATATTAGACAACCCTTATAATTAGAAATGTATTTAATGACTGCGAATAAAATAGTTAGCTCCCAAAGGTTTCACCGGGACGTGCTAGGCAGGTAACAGCTAAGCTAGCTAGCTGTTTCATGGTAACTTCCGGGTTTTTCGCGATCACTTTTTGTCACTTTAAAACAGTATTTTTGTCATGAAAACGTTGACAGCAAATTCTGAAATCGTCCGTGCATGTGTGTTAAGGATGTCTATGTATACTGTATTGTCCGATTGACGTTTAATGGTGTTGATTGATAGATATGTATTTGTTTATTGAGCGTGGCTAGCTCAGCTAGCTTCTCTACACAGACAAGTGTGCAGAGAAACTGCACAGTGTAGTGACAGGCGCTGAAGGCTTGTTGTTCTTTGCACTCACTATGGAAAAGAACCAAACCTTGCTGATGTTTCCTATCAGAGCGACTCAGAGAGCTAGATCAGGGCCGAGATCTGCACCAGGACTGAGAGGCTCCATTTTCCCAAAAGGTAGCAGTGCACGGGAGAGCAGAGGTTTGATACAATGAGGAATTATTATGTTTCAGTAATGAGTAATGGCAGTATTTTAACGCTCAGTCCTGGATTATGGGGTCCTCCGAGGGTTTTCTCCACAGAGAATCTCGTTGTTCTTTGCTGATGCAGAGGACAGTGGGTTTGAACTTGATTCTCTGATGTGGAGGAATCAACACTTTAAAAAGTCCTCTGAGACGCCCTGCTGTTGGGATTCTGGACTATAGAAAAATGTATTGAATGTCCGCTTCAAACTAGGCTGTAAGGAAATAAGAAAATCAAATGGAAACACGGAGTTTGAGTGTTTTTAACATGAGAGATTGAAAATGAGACTCAGAGACCTGTAATAAGCAAACAGGTAGTGCTGAGAGAGAATACATGTAAACTTGATATGAACTTTTAGCAAGTGCAGCATGAGAAGTGTCAGTGGTTAAAAAGCCAGACATTACTGTAGGAAAATATCGTGCGTAAGGTCCTGTGAAGAAATGGAGCGGCCTGTGACGATTAACCTTTATGTTTGTTGGAAAACGACGACGAAAAAATATGAGTAAAGAGGGAGTAAAAGTGACTCAATGGGCCTCAATCTCTAAGGAACTGTGAAGATATTTTGTAGTTTTAAAGCCCAGGGTTAAATAAAAAGTGGTAGACTGAAAACGGGAGCGGCTGGTAAAGGTGAAGGGAAAATAAAAAGCTTATAAAGATGTTTTCTTCATCTGAACTAAATATAAACAAAGACTATTCTTCTTCCGCAGACGTGGCAGAGACGCGTTCTCCCAAAAGGATTCGTGACGACGCAGGGTTTAGTTGAATCTTTCAGAGACGGTAAATTTAACCCAGCTTTACCTTACCTTTGGTCTCAGGTGACGGTGACGTCACGTGACCAAGCTGCCTCACGCGCAGCTGCAGTTTCTGATTCTTACTGGAATACAATTCAAAATGATTATAATACAAATAAAATACAGTCGGCCGGATAATGAATACATACTCTCCTCTCCCCTCTCCCCCCCCTTTCCCTCCCCCTCTAAAGTTAACGCGTTACAACCTGTCATGGTGAGGAGTAATCTTTTGAATGTTTTAATAATGTGTGTGTGTAACGTTCAAATCCAGGATAAAAAAACAGTTCTGTTTCTGTGTCTTTAAACGCACTGTGATTATGTAGTGATGCTAATGTACTTTGTGATTTTAATGCTTCTTTATGAACTTGTTTTTTTTATTTGGGAGCCTAGAGCCATGAGTTAGCGCTTAGCAACCTACTTCCTGTTTTTCCCGGAATTGGAAAAAAAAAGAACATTTTTTTTCTGTTTTTAAGTATAACGAAAGTGTAAATAACTTAGACACAATTTGGGAAAAATACATAAGGGAGTAGTGAATTTGTTACGCACACACACACACACGCACACACACACACAACACAGCCCCTCCAACCACCACAACCATCTGACACACACCAGACTCTTCTAAGCAATGTTGGTGAAGTGTGTTGCCCACTCACACACACAACACACACACACGCCACGACTCACACACACACACACACGCACACACGACGCACCACACACACTCATACACGTTTTTGTTACCTGGTGGGTCCCTTTGACAGGGCCGTTCAGAATGGGACCCATAGACATAATCTTTTTTTACCAAGACTTTAAGTAATACAAAACAGTCAATAGAAACCAAACAACTATTTTTAAGGAATTTTATTTTAGATTTTGTTTTCGAATTGCAGTGCTATGATCTATTTTTGACATAGAATTTAATGCCACTCCATGTCCGATGTCTAAGGTCATCTGGTGAGGGCATTAATGCAGGCCAGGCCAGTGAGAGACTTCCCAGGGACCTTTCCAGTCTGTATGAAAGGTGTCATGGTCTTCTCCACAGCCTTCACCTCAGACAAAAATATATTAGCAATATACACAAGGACCAAGTGGCTGTAATCCCGGTGACCTCCGGTAGCTCTCCCTGTCGCACAGAAAATAAAAATAACACGCGAGAGTCTATAAAGCCACGTGACACCGGAAGCACAGTCCCTTTTCACTTTCTCGCATGCAGGTTGTATGAGTCTGTCTGAAGCTAACTGCTAGCTGTTTGTGCCTGTGCCTGTGCTGTTTACCTGCACGTATTCAGCGTGTGTTCGGTGGGTTACCAGTGGCGTTCTGCTCGACCTAACCCTGTGTCTTGGTTAATTACCTGCGCGCGTTCCACGTGCGCTTCTGTCGGTCACTGGTGGCGTATCTACTCGACCTGACCCTGTTGTATTGGCTGTTGCCTGCGCGTGTTCCACGTGTTTCTGCGGGTTATCGGTGGCGTCTCTGCTCGCCCTGACCCTGCTATATTGGTTGTTCCCTGCACCTGTGAGGCGTTCGGTGGGTCACTAGTGGCGTCTCTGCTCGCCCTGACCCTGCTATATTGGTTGTTCCCTGCACCTGTGAGGCGTTCGGTGGGTCACTAGTGGCGTCTCTGCTCGCCCTGACCCTACCGGGAGTGCCCCTGTACTTGGCAGCGACTGCTCCTGCGCGTTCGCTCGCTGGGATGCTTGAGCCGTTGGCCTGCCAGTCCTGTCTGGCCCCGATGCAGCAGGACGATGGCCATGTGCTGTGTCCGGGTCTGGGTGTGGACCATCTGTGGGAGGCGCTAACCGAGCGTGCATGTCCCAATTGTGTGGTAATGCCCTGGCCTGTGCGCGTGGCCCGCCTGTCGGCCCTGGACGGACATTTTAGTGGCGATTCTGGGGACTGTGATTCTGCCCTGTTGGTTGACCGATCTTGATCTGGTTTAACTGTGCTGCCACTTACCCCATGTTCTCAGGTGGACTGTTCTTAAACTCTTCGAGCCAGTCTTCAGAGCTGTCACTGAGGCTGGAGCCACAGCTCAGAGCAGGGTGAGGGTTCGAGTCCCTACAGTCAAAGAGTCTGTTCAGAGCATGTTACAGTGGAGCACACACTCAGGAACAAACTCACCTTTTAAAGTTGATTGACAACGGTTTGGACCTGTCACTCTTCAGAGACTCACAGCTGGGACCAGGTCTGGTTTGAGATCCAGATTTTTCCACTTTCCTCCTGAAGATAATTTTTAACAGTTAATATTTATATATGATTTTTATTATTTATTAATTTAGAATGGGCAACATTTTTTTACAATTTTGAGAGAAAACACAAATCCTACATAAAAACACATTATTAGCGTTGAAAAGAACGACCAAATCAAGCCTGCTGTAAAATATACTGTATATATTAATATTTATAAATGTATCGTTCAATCAGGAGATAAATGACCATAAGTTACATGTAAGGACATTTATGGACATTTGTCTCCCACTCACTATGGAAAAGAACTCAAACCTTGCAGATGTTTCCTCAGAGAGACACAGAGAGCTCAGATCAGGGCCGAGATCTGCACCAGGACTGAGAGGCTCCATTATCCCCAAAATGTAGCAGTGCACAGGGAGAGCAGAGGTCTGTGATACAAAGAGGAATTATAATAGTTTAAAAATACATTACCCACAACAAACAACCACATGTCACACAGACAACCAGAGCCTCAGTCCTGGGTCTACAGCCTCGGTCCTGGATCTACAGCCTCGGTCCTGGGTCTACAGCCTCGGTCCTGGGTCTACAGCCTCGGTCCTGGGTCTACAGCCTCAGTCCTGGGTCTACAGCCTCAGTCCTGGGTCTACAGCCTCAGTCAGCCTCAGTCCTGGGTCTACAGCCTCAGTCCTGGGTCTACAGCCTCAGTCAGCCTCAGTCCTGGGTCTACAGCCTCAGTCCTGGGTCTACAGCCTCAGTCCTGGGTCTACAGCCTCAGTCCTGGGTCTACAGCCTCAGTCCTGGGTCTACAGCCTCAGTCCTGGGTCTACAGCCTCAGTCCTGGGTCTACAGCCTCAGTCCTGGGTCTACAGCCTCAGTCCTGGGTCTACAGCCTCGGCCCTGGGTCTACAGCCTCGGCCCTGGGTCTACAGCCTCGGTCGTGGGTCTACAGCCTCGGTCCTGGGTCTACAGCCTCGGTCGTGGGTCTACAGCCTCAGTCCTGGGCCTACAGCCTCAGTCCTGGGTCTATGGGCCTCCCTGAGGGTTTTTTCCACAGAAATCTCAGTTATTCTTTGCCAATGCAGAGGACAGTGGGTTTGAACCATAGACTGTATATATTAACTAAATATATATATATATATATATATATATATATATATATATAAATATAAAATTGAACTTGATTCTCTGATGTGGAGGAATCAACAACTTTAAAAAGTCCTCTGAGACGCCTGCTGTTGGGATTCAGGACTATAGAAAAAATGTATTGAATGTCCGCTTCAAACTAGGGCTGTAAGAAATAAGAAAATCAAATGAAAAACACGGTTTGAGTGTTTTTAACATGAGAGATGTGAAAATGAGACTCAGAGACCTGTAATAAAGCAAACAGGTCAGAATACAGGTAAACTCGTATGAACCTTTTAGCAAGTGCAGCATGAGGAAGAGTCAGTGGTTAAAAAGCCAGACATACTGTAGGAAAATAAAGTGCGTAGGTCCTGAGAAGAAATGGGAGCGGCCTGTGACGATTAACTTTACTGTTTGTTGGAAAACGACGACGAAAAACTGATTAAAGAGGAGTAAAAGTGACTCAATGGGCCTCGTCCTCAATGAACTGTGAAGATATTTGTAGTTTTAAAAGCCCAGGGTTAAATAAAAAGTGCGTAGACTGAAACGGGAGCGGCCTGGTCAAAGGTGAAGGAAAATAAAGCTTATAAAGATGTTTTCTTCATCTGAACTAAATATAAACTACTATTCTACTTACGCAGACGTGGCCAGAGACGCGTTCTCCCCAAAAGGATCTTGACGACGCAGGGTTTAGTTGAATCTTTCCAGAGACGGTAAATATTAACCCAGCTTTACTTTCACTTTAGTCTCAGGTGAGGTGACGTCACGTGACCAAGCCGCCTTCACGCGCAGCTGCTGTTTCCTGATTCTTACTGGAAACAATTCATAATGATTTTAATTGAATAAAAATAAACATATTTACAGTACGCCAGATAATGATACATAACTCTCTCTAAAGTTAACGCGTTACCAACCTGTCATGTTGAGGAGTAATCTTTGAATGTATTAAAATGTATCGTGTAACGTTCATATCCAGGATAAAAAAACAGTTCTGTTTTGCTGTGATTATGTATTTATTATTATATGATAGCATATGTATAGCATCATAATTAATGTATTATTTATGATGCTAATGTCATTTTTGATTTTCATGCTTCTTTCTGAACTTCTTTTTTCTAAATCATGGCCTACATCCATAGACTGTATATATTTACATCCATGATTAGCGCTAGCAACCTACTTCCTGTTTAGACCGGAAATTGTCAAAATAAACTTTTTTTACTGATAGTATAACGAAAGTGCTAAATAACCTTTACACTGTCAATTTGGGAAAATATCGTGTCCATAAGAGTAAGTGAATATGTTACCTTCACACATCATTACTCATTCACTCCATACACAGCGGTGATAAACTACTACTGTAGCCACAGCTGCCCTGGGTCACACAGACAGAAGCGAGGCAACCAGTCCGTGCCATCAGCCCCTCCAACCACCACACACCATTCAGACACACACCAGACTCATTCTAAGCAATGTGGGTGAAATGTGTTGCCTGAGGACACAACAACAGTTTTGCTCAAACACACACACACACACACACAAAGGTCGGAGGTTCCCAAAGTGGGGCCGGGACACTCAGGGGAGTTTGTGAGGCACGTTCTGGAGGTTGAGAGATGAAAGAGAAATAAAGTAAATAAATAAAATTACAAAAATTCTGGATCCAGACAAATGTTTCCTTTTCAAGATTTACTGACGATTTCATGAATTTGAGTTCTTCTTGCAAACTAACAAACACTGATAAAACATAACCATAGTTATGTAATGAGTAACCGTGGTAACCATAGTAAAAACTGCTGAGCCGCAGACCTCATAAGCTTCAACGCTGCTGAAAAAAAATGAGTTCTTAATCAAAGTTTTCAGTTTTGTTTTATTGAACAAAAGTCTTCAAAGGTTTTAGGAAATACATTATAATACAAGTGTGTCACCATGGCAACAACTGATGACACTGAAACCAGTCTTAAGCCCAAACTCAACTATACCGCAACTTTCAGAATGTTTTTGTCTTTTTAAAAACCTTTTCCATCTTTACAGAGACACAAACAGTGAGGAGATGGTCCAAAAACAAGCAGCTGCTGAAAGACTGGAAGAAAAATCTGCTCTAAATTGAACGGCATTCTGGAAAATGTAGGACAAAAGGGAAGGAAAAGAGGCACAGCAGATGTTTATTGGTACATTTCCTATTATTTTGTACATAATCTGGGCCTAAAGCATATGATGTGCGACGTCAACATGTATTGGTTTGTATAATTCACATTTGAACAGAATTATTTTACTTGATTCAAAGTTTGACTCAAGATTTAGACAGAACCCATTTTAATCTCATGATGAATAAAGAAGCAGGTATTGACGTTATTAACACAATTCTACAGAAGAAATGTAAAAATGACCACAATCATCTTTATGGAGAGAACCCAGTGATTTGTCTGTTTTCTGTTATTGTAAGATTATATCAAACATTCATGGAGAAAGCAACATCTTAACGGACATGTGACTGCAGAGAAAATACAAAGCTAATTTGAAGCTAATCAAGTAGCTATCAGTCCAATGAGGTTCAGTTGCTCCTCTGATAGATTCTACAAGTTGGTTCTTTGTTTAAGACCAGTGTTTTTTCATTCCTGACACTTTTGCTGGTGCACAGTCTTCCTCCCAGTGTTGTGTTGCTTGTGTGCTAAAGCGTACACACAAGCAACACAACACACACAGCAAGAACAAGAGACACTCAGATCTGCCATCTCCGACCAGTGTAAAAGAGAGAACCACATTATGGATCGGGACGGAGCAAGTATCATAGTGGCTGAGGACAACAAACACGACGCTGGATCAAAGAGGCAATAGAAATACGGGAACGCGCCCTCAGGACTATAAACCGGGACGAGGGGGCTTCTTTACTCTCACACAGCTGGGATTCTGTCCTGAAGAAGTCGTACAGCAGATGGCGCTGTCGTCCTGCCTCTGGTGGTAGAAAGACAGCGGCAAAAACTGAGGAAGACTGCAGTCACAAGTGTCAGGTATGAACAAAAATGAATCAAATTGTATAAATAACTAACATTTTGTAAGAACAGACCAGATGATGTGAATAGGGCAGAATCAGCCTGTTGGGAGTTCTCACTGGGGGTGGTTTACATATTTTTATGGAGAAACGGGATTAATAAAAGCAACACAAACTGTATGAAGTGAAAGATAATTATATTTAGTTTGGGTATTACAGTCAAAGGAATAACATCTCAGAGGAAATAAGCATCTATCCGACTATCCAACATGACATTACACAGAGCATTTGTTTTTCCATGCTCAAAAAGACAAAATATAGCTTCATGAATAAACGTTTGTGGCTATATTTAAAGAGGCGCAGGTATTCATGTGGCTCGCTGCCATTGAGATGTTATGATTCTCAATATTCTCATGTGTTGTACCTTGTTTTGCATCGCCGACACGCTCGACATATTAGAATATTGTGAAAAAGGAGAAGATTATCTGTGTGTCTATAGTGCCTCTGGAAAGTACTAATACACAAATACAGAAAAGTCCAAAGTGGGGCGAACAGCATTTTTCTGAGTGTGTAAAATGTCCTGCTGAATGTTCACACTTTGCCCTAACCTTGAAATAAAAGCCATCTGTGTGTAATCTCCTCTCAGTTTAACTACAGCTGTTCTGTGAGGGCCTCAGAGCCTTACTAAACAGCATCATGAAGGCCAAGGAGCACAGCAGAGAGCTCAGGGATAACGTTGTGGACAAGTTTGAAGCATGGTCGTGTTATTCACACATTTACAAAGCTTTCAACGTCTGTTTGACATTTCCTCTGTTTTCATTCTTTTTATTTTATATCATGTGTTATATTGGATTTTAATATTATTACTTTACTTAATACTTTAATTCATACTAACTGAATGAATGTAGGCTCGTACAGACGCATGTGCCCATTTCACGTTTTTATTTCATTGCACAAATTCACTAAGAGCTAAAACCGTGAATACATTGAATCAGTAAAGCAGACAAAAGAATCATAAAAGTCACATTAAAATACACACGTTTATCCCCTTTCAGCGCTAACCATTTAAACAGTTCAGACCGGACCATCCCGAGCCCACACCATGTCACACTAAGTACAATTCAGAAGAAACCGGAAGTTCCCCAGACAAAAAAATAATAATCTGCTTTAGATTTTAACAAAGTAATTACTGTAAAGAAGTCTCTCAATAAAAACCTAAACTGTAAAATAGAAACTTAATTCTTTAATTAAGCAATTAACTCATTTATATTTTATTGCAGTAAAATTCATGACACAAATTATTGACATCTTTTTCAAAAACATGATTTCTGTTTATCAGTAGAAAAGCTCTGAGCGATGTGTTTAAAAATATCACATCTTTAAAATTAGAGTTTCTTAAAGTTAATCAGAGACACAGAGGAACCAGGACGCTCCAGACTGAACCCAACAAACAGCGGCTCTGAGACGGAGACGCTGACGGAGTGGAAGGGGGACCAGAATGTATCATTAATAACCTTAGAGAAATACAGAACTCCAGCCTCAGAGTCCAGGAAAACACCTACTCTTTGATCGTAGTAGTACAGTTGTGTTTTCCTTTTACAATGATAAAAAAACCTCCCGTCTCCTTCGATCCTCAGACTCCAGGACTGATCATTGTCCCCAAAGCGACACTGGTCCAGGTCTCCTCTGCGTCCGATTCCTCTGTGACTCAGTGCTATAGCTACATCTCCGCTCCACTCCACCTCAAAGTAAGAGTGTCCTGTGAGGGCGGTGGAGCTCAGCAGCTGTGGGCAGGAGCTGAAGCGGTCCTGGTGAGAGGGGTACAGCTGCAGCGCCTTCACTCTGGTCACTGTCCTTCTGTCCTCACTCAGCTGCAGAGTGTTATTGGCCGTGTTTGGATCCAGAGAGACGTCACAGAAGTCTGAGAACACACACACACTGGTGACCTCACTGTCACTTTAACACACCATGCAGCAAAACACACAATATACAACAGGTTTTACATTTGGCAACAGTTCAGACACAGGAAACTAAGGAAAATGGATCGTTGTAAATAGTTGTTTTATTGGTTCTTATTCTCTATATTTATTTATTTCAAAAGTTTCCAAAACATCACAATCTTTTTGGTTCAAATGCGTCACATTAATGACTTTTGAATGCACTGGAAACGACAGCGAGACCTAAGTAGCTCTGAAACAGTTGTTTTACAATTGTTATTTTTCTCCCAGAGCAGAGAGAATGCACGATCTGAACCAAACAGATCAAGAGTAAATCCACTCAGATCCAAATCAGTTCAGAGCAGAGAAAATGGTCCAAACCAAGCAGACTCTGCAGACATCACCCAGAGGAGAGGAAGCAGCTCATCACCAGCAGCTCCTCCACCTCTGCTGCTGCTGCACTTTATTACTATTGTAGTCACTTTTAGAATGATGGATTTATTTGTTTGTTTGGATGGATGTGTTTCTGCTGCTGGACACCTGCATTTCTCCATCAGGGATCAAGAAAGTATTTACCCAAAATCAGACCCAGATCTGTCTCTGACTAAACACCTCCATGTCCTTCCTGATCCTTTCTTCTCCTTATCATTGATCTGCTCTTGAGGTGGACCATAAGGAGCTGTCGCTCCATCTCAATAGGAGCACTCCCTCTGAGGAACATCTCAATCTCAGACTTTAAACCGTTCCTTCACTAATGAATGTGGATGGTCCTCGTGGACAGACCACCAACATACAGGTCAATGAAGAGAAAAGGCACAGATGGAGGAGGACTAAACATTCTAACTTATGACATCACTTCCTGTTTACTCACACTTCCTTGGACCTGTGACCATCCACCTCTCTCCAGCCGGGTCCAGCCTGTAACACACAGGTCACTCACACATGGAACAAGACTCACAATAAGATCCAAACACAGACTGTGACAAAACTGAGGAATAATGTTGTTTATCTGTCGACTTCAATCTGACCAGAGGAAGGTACTAAAACTACAGGATGTGTGGCCTTCAGGATTCTCTGGACCAAATGCTTTTGGAGGATTTGTGATTGAACTGCAGAGATGGAGCCTCAAAAAGACTCAATAAACAGATTACAGTTTTAATTTTTTTGTCATGAATCAACAACAAGTGGGACACAAACGTGAAGTGGAACGAAATTTATTGGATAATTTAAACTTTTTTAACAAATAAAAAACTGAAAAGTGGGGCGTGCAATATTATTCGGCCCCTTTACTTTCAGTGCAGCAAACTCAGTCCAGAAGTTCAGTGAGGATCTTTGAATGATCCAATGTTGTCCTAAATGACTGATGATGATAAATAGAATGCACCTGTGTGTAATCAAGTCTCCGTATAAATGCACCTGCTCTTTGATAGTCTCAGGGTTCTGTTTAAAGCACAGAGAGAACCATGAAGACAAAGGAACACACACAGGTGCATTCTATTTATCAACATCAGTCATTTAGGACAACATTGGATCATTCAAAGATCCTCACTGAACTTCTGGACTGAGTTTGCTGCACTGAAAGTAAAGGGGCTGAATAATATTGCACGCCCCACTTTTCAGTTTTTTATTTGTTAAAAAAGTTTAAATGATCCAATAAATTTCGTTCCACTTCACGATTGTGTCCCACTTGTTGTTGATTCATGACAAAAAATTAAAATTTTATATCTTTATGTTTGAAGCCTGAAATGTGGCAAAATGTTGAAAGGTTGAATGGGGGGGGCGATTACTTTCGCAAGGCACTGTATGTCTGTGATCGTTCAATCATCAACAATTTCTATTGAGCCTCAGTGTTTTCTACAAAAGAACGTCTCCAGTTTAACCTCTTACTGTCGGCCAAAACATTTCTTCTTATCATAGTGATCTTTCTCCTGTGATTTATGAACTGATGTGTGATTAACAATAATATTAATTAATCATACTTATTTAGTGCTTCACAGACATTATTCAGACAGAGGTCTCCCATCACAGTACTATCCAGGCCCTGCCCTACTTAGCTCCTGAGCTCTGACAGGATCAGGCTTCCACATGCAGGTTGGCTACATACATACTTTGTGACGGATCATTAAGTCAAAAACAGATTGTTTATATTTCAGTTCAGCGATAGATGTTTTTGCTCAGAATTGTGTTGAATTCAAATAGTTTTGAAACAGTTCTTGTTGCCGTGGAGAACGCACTGTTGTCTTGTTGCCGTGGAGCGGTCAGGACCTCTGCTGAGGCTCCTGGATGGTTGTAGCTCAGGTCTAACTCTGTCAGATGAGAGTGGGCGGAGCTTAAAGCAGAGGCCAGAGCAGCTCCGCCCCTCTCAGAGACCACACATCCTGAGAGTCTGTAAACACAAGGACACTTTCCATTCACTCCTCTGTGCACATTCAACAGGAGTCTGGTGATGTAGAAGCAACAGTTGTGAGTGTGAAGGCCCCAGGGCCTCCGGGCCCCTCAGCTGCAGAGAGGCCCCAGGGCAACCAAGTCCCCTCAGCTGCAGAGAGGCCCTAGGGCCTCCGGGCCCCTCAGCTGCAGAGAGGCCCCAGGACGCAGGAAGTCAATCTACAATAGGCTTGTTCCTTCAGAACTGTGCTTCTGCTGCAGTGATGGCGAGAGTCGACATGTCGCAGAGGGCGTAGATAAAAGAGGTGTCAGGGATGAGGCAGACAGAGACGGATCGTGGTGCGCCAAACTCTGGAAGTTTATTTAAGTTTCTCTCAAGTTCCAGTGGTTTCCTTTGTTTCTTTCTCTCAGACAGAATGGAGTCAGTACACAGTTTATATAGTCATTGTCACGTCACACATGGAAAGACGTTTCACACAGAGACAGTCACATCATAGTCAAAATAATCAGAGTCCTTGTAGAGTCCTGCACGTAGGCCATATTGCTATCTAATACTAACAGAGGCAGTAAAGACCAGAGTGTGTCTCATGTCCACTCGTCCACTCATGCTTCCTTCTCTGTTCCTCTAGTCCAGGGGTACCCAAACGGCGGACCGCGGTGCAGGTTTGGACCCCGAGACCCTTTTCTCTGGACCTCTGTGAGTACATTATTACAATACATTTTTGTGTCAAATTTTCAAATTTTCACCAAAAGCAATTTTTTTACAGGCAGGCGCGGAGGGCAGCTATGTGGGGGAGACGGAGGGATCTAAATTCTAACCATAATCAATATACAGATCATTTCTAAACCATGATTAAGCAATAGTTGGAAACTGTTGAATGTATTTGTTTTATATTCTAATGATTAAATAAATTTAATTGAGACACAAGACAAATAAACTGAATCAATCCAAAATCAATCATTAGAGATTATTCTGTTACCACTTTTGTTCATATTCAAACGGAGGAAAATGTAAATTATGATTACACTTTTTCTAAACTTTTCTTTGTCGTTCACTTTATTCTAGTGCTGTGTTTCTTACTAACTACAACTTAATTTTCATTATTTATTTCACCACCAAAGATACACTGGAGTGGATGGACTTGGACAAAATGGAACTGTATTAGGTTTGATGCAGTGGTTTTTGTTTTCAGACTTTTATAATTAAAAACAATAATGCAAATGTTCTGCTGCCTCTTTAAGTGTCTGATATGGGGCTGTTCTGGGTTCCCCTGAGGACTCAGTCTGCAGGTGGCGCACTCAGTCCAGAATCACAGTCTCCACCTTAGAGTTCCCAGAGGAGCAGTGACTGAGGTCCAGATGGTTTCCGAGCTGTGGAGCTGACGACTGATGTTCATCAGAGAGTTCAGGTCACGGCTGGAAAGACTGCGGACTGAGAGGAAGTATAATCAGGCTCCAATCATGAGTTTGTGTTTTATAAAATCTCGACTCACGTGACTTTTCTGGAGGCTTTCATTACAGGCAGCAGACCCTCAAAGATTTGGATGATAGAGTATGTCTCTGATGTCAAGTCCTTGGAGCTCAGGAGTTGAAGACGTAAGAGGAGAGGAAACCGCTGTCACTCTATCACAGAATGTGTTTATCTGAGAATGTCTTCTCTCATGTAGCGCTGCACTGCTGCAGAGACTGTGGTCGTTCAGCTCATGCAGACTAGTGGAGAGGTTCATACGACTCTCTGATGGATTCATTACTTATCACCACTTATCTGTGATGCACTTTATTGTGTCTTCATTGGTGTACTGAGGCTCTCAGTCTTCTGATGCACAGACCTATAAATGGTGTGACTTGGTCGAAAGAGATCAGACCCAAGGAATGGTAGAAAGAGGTCCAGGTGGGACCGTTGGGACTGTCTACAGCTTTTTCACAGCAGAAAGTAAAAGTTGTCTCCTCCTCAATCCATATGTCAGACGTGGGAGCTCTCTGCGTCAGACGTGGATCTTCTCTGCGTCAGGAGTGGTGTCTCTGCGTCAGACGTGGAGCTCTCTGCGTCAGACGTGGGTCTCTGCGTCAGACGTGGGCTCTATGTGGTTTGTGTTGGGACAGCAAGGTTGCCCCAGAGCTGTCAGAAGGTGAGGTGAGTGAAGCGCAGCCAAGAAACTCCTGCACGCTCAGATGGATGAATGCAGTAAGACCTTGGTCTGGTACAGCCCAGGCCTCTTCTCTAAACACCTGGTGAAGACTCCGGAGTAAAGAGAGGCCGCGGCAGCGTCCAGCCCACACACCTCCAGGTCTGAATCATAGAAGATCAGGTTCCCCTCTGCAGCTGCTCAAAGGAGTGTTTCCCAGAGCTGCACCATCTCCCTGGTGTCAGGGGCTCCAGTGAGCTGCTCTGAGACGCAGTCCATCGTACTTGAGGACTTTTGACTTGGCCTGGACCACCAGGAAGTGTGTACATCTGGGTGAGAGTCTGAGGCAGCTGCTCTTTGAGCCCTGTCTCCATCACATGGTCCAGGACTGCTGGACATCATCAGCAAGAAGACCGGCAGGTGCACTCATGATGTACGCTGCGGAGCTTTTGATGGTGGGAGATCATGTCTGCGGCCCGTGGTGGTCTCTGAACCTTTCATGAAGTACTCGTCCTTCTGCGGGTCAGGAACCTCGCAACTTGTTCCATGGAGACACACTCAGCAGGATCTGATTGGCGCCGCAGCGGGCGTGTGGTATCCAGTGGCGAGCAGAGGGGTAGCAGGTTTCTCTGATGAGGTGCACCTGTAGCCAGCTACGTCCAGCGTGACGCTCTCTGTTCGTCTGTTAGGACTCGAGTCCAGCGAAGTCAGGGATGTTAGCATCGTCCAGGACCGTCCCAGATGTAAGAGCAACTGCAGCATGCTCGTGGTCGCAGACGTTTTGCTTCGCTTGTAGAAGTTGCTGTGTGAGTTCCACGGAGGCTGAAGGTCTGTGTCTTGAGAACATTGAGCTCTCTGAATGTGAACGGCAGCAGCTGCTGGACGTCCTGGTGGCCCTGCCCTCAGCCCAGTCCAGACTCTCCCTTCTGGTCAGCACTGTTTTCCACACCCTGCCACGCCCTTCGTAGCACAGTTGATTGGTTCCGGTCTCTCTCTTTGCTCTGCTCTCCTGGTCTTCTTTGAGTGCGGGCTTTAAACATTGATATCCTCACATGTGATGGGGCGCTCTGGGGCGGCTGCTTCCTGGATCTGCTTCTCGATGAGTCTTGACTTCATGCTCCTGTTGACCCCCGCGGCCCTCCCTCTGTGATGTACAGCTCAGTTGTAGAGGTGCTTCAGAGGGGCGAGGCTTCCGGCTTTAGCCACGCCCTCGACACAAGGCTGAGCTTTGTGCTGCAGAACGCTGCTGCAGTTGATCTCTGCAAACCCAGCCGCCACTCTCTGTGGAAGAACAGGAGGAATCATGTGGGAGTCCAGGTTTACAGCCAAACATGGTCAACCACTATGGTGTTGCTACAGGACACACATCTGAAACTGACACATGGGACCTTTAATGTTCAACACGAA